GGGGAGGGGAGGGGAAGGGAGGGGAGAGGGGAGGAGAGAGGAGAGAGAGGGGGTCTGTGGGGAAGATGATAGTTCAGAGAAATTTTTAGAAGAAGGAACCCACGGTAATGGAGTGGAAAGACACAAACGGAAGTTCCTAGCGTAGAGAGAGAAAGAGAAAATAGGCGGCATAGATTTAAGGTAGGTTAAGTTAGGTTAAGATAATAAGTAAGATTGTGTAAAGTGCGATATATATGTGTATAAAATTGTAATCCCGAGGGGATCAATAAAGTTTATCTATCTATCTATCTATTTGTAACAGTTTTACCTTGAGAAAGTCGCGCAGCCATATTACTTCCGGTTTAGGATCTCCGACCACTTCACAAAGAATGATAACCGTATCTCCCTCGATTGCTTCAGTTGATAAAGGTTTCGTGACAAAAAGAGGTTCCTTTGAATATCTAAAAGTAGAACAATTTTATTTACAACTGTATGTTAGTAAGATAAGTTATAATGATTGAACGCCAAAATAAATCATAATGATTGAACTTACGGTATATCTGGATTTGTAATATTAGCTGATTCGTTAATGAACGATTGATCCTTGATCGCGGCCGTAACAGCTATCCTAGTGGATGTCTCTGCTTGACCGACTACATTTGTTGCGGTACAACTGTAAACTCCTGCGTCTCGCGTAGTAATATTAGCCAAAGAGAATTGGACGGTACCGTCGTGACTTAATGTCATTATCGCTCTTCTATTGGGTCGTAAGCGAATACCATCGCGATGCCTACGCGAAAAATGCAATCATAAAATGAAAACAAAAGTATTTATTCTGAACTATGTTATCATAAATGTAAGTATCGTTAATTGCAATCATCGCTCACCAGACAACACCAACACACGGATAAGCTTCAAGTTGCGCCGACATTCGTAGTTCCCCGCCTGAATGAATCGTGTAAGCCACGTTGAGATCACGAAGAAATTCCGGTGCGATGTAGGCCCGAATTCCTTTGTCTACCACGAGGGTACATCGACAAGAAACTGAGCCGTTTATATTCCTCGCTGTCACCATGTAACATCCAGAATCCTCAAGAGCAGACTGAATTATTTCCAGAGTATGAAAATTTGAGTCATCATTCCAAAAGATGTGGCGGTCTAAAGAAAGGAACATTTAGCGAAACGTTAATATAGGAAATTTTATGTCAGACAATGAATTAATTACCATCTTGAGAGATTTCCGTTCCGTCTTTATACCAAACAATTTCTGGAATGGGATGTCCGATGACTTGACAAGTAAGCCTTACCGGATAAGTTGTTTGCACTCGTCTGTCCCGTATTCTCATGGTGAATTGCGGCGGTCTATCTTTCGATTCAATGCTTAAACTTTTAATAGAATAATATCATGTTATTACTAGTTTTGTTGTATTAAGATAATATCTTATTTTACCTCGTTTTAAGTTTAGCATCAGCCTCAATAATTCTTGGATCAGTAACAACGAGAATTCTAGCGAACGATGACACTTTACCGATCCTATTGTTCGCCTCGCAAACGTATCTTCCAGAATCATCCTCTTTAACATTTGCAATTGCTAAAGAACATTTAGAACCATCATAACATATCGCAAATCTGGTATCATTGTACGGATTAATTTCTGTTGTTTCGCGATACCATCGTACTTCTATTTTGGAATCACTACGAATCTAAGAAAAATTGAAATGACCATATAAAATAAGATATGTATAATGTATATTTATAAAATAAGCGACATTAGTTAAAAATCTAGTAAAATACTATACTTTTATAGGTATATAAACTTGCCTCACATTCCAATTTTACCGATGTTCCTTCAAGAGTTTTTAATTGACCCGGTAAAATTTTTGTGAATTCTGGAAGATCGGTACTTTCAATAATCAACACTGAATTCTTCATTGTAACTGATTCGCCCCATCCATAACGATTTCGCGGTGTTACGCGAAATTTGTATTCTCCACCTGGTCGTAAATTGAATGCGTCGAATGCGTTGATTGGCGTAATTCCCAACTAACAAGATTAAATTACATTTAATTTATGAAAAAAAATTAACAAATATATATTGTTAAGTTAAAAATATTATTTTCTTTTTGTATCTCACCTCTGCCCATCGTGCACCTCCATCACCTCCTAACAGCCAAGCTTCGACTTTATAAGCGACCACCGGTGCAGGTCCTCTTCTTTCTGCTTTACCCCAACTCAACGAGAGCCAGCTTTTTCCACCATCAATAACAACTGGTTCGCTACTGATCGGACCGGGCACGTCTGAAAATTATAAGATATATAAATATAGAATTATTTATATATCTTAATTATGCTATTGTTAAACTTATAAAAACTTTTTTATGAAAATTTATATATTATAGGAATAACTTTCATCTATTGGCAAACCTCGATGTCCATACAAATATTCCAAAAAGTCAGTGATTAAACAATTCTTGGTCCATGAACGTCTCAAACGCGAAATAGTGATATTTTCGTTTTCGACATTGATAGTCATTCCATGATTATGTGGCATTATTTTTATTTTATTTTTATTGTATTTATTTTAGTAATATATACATATTTATTAATGCTTGCAAATCGAACGCGATATTAAAGAAAAAAATTTTAATATTACAAAGAAAATGAAAGAAAGAAACATATTTAACATATTATTATCATACAATAAAAATATTAGACGAGTAATGATAAATTTTGCGGCAATTTAGCATTTATCAAAAGATATTGATGAAACGAATAAATAATTCTTCACTTTGCGATATACTTCTTCTCAGCACAATATATCGTGATAAAATTGAAAGTTTTGTAAAGTAGAGTGTATGAAGTGATACACATTCAGACGATGACTGAATTTTGAATTTGTAAAATTCGTGAGATGCTGGTGGGAGATGAGTAAGAAGGTAAACTAATAATAGAGAATAACCCGTCTCAAAATGTTTCTCGAATGAAGGAAACTTTAATATTCTCTTGTCGTGTTTATTTTACGTTACAAGTCCAAGACTTCGAGAATGTGCTGTAATTCTGAATTCATTTGAGAATATCGACTCACTTACATTGCAGTTCATTTATTCTAAAGATTACATTTACGTATATTTAAGGAAATCTTTGATTAGCATATTAATTTGATGAATAGTCAAATGAAATATTAATATCAGTTTGCGTGATCGTTTAATCCAGGCGTCAACTGGCGTTTAGCCATTAAAATTTAAGCCAAGCATACGATGTTGCAGTGGTGTAGATTGTCATTCTAAATTTAATATATTCTATAATAATGTTGTGACATCTTAGTTGAAATTTATTACTACACTAAGTATCTATTTTATAAATATTCATGCAAATAATATACACTACAAAAGATAACTTTCGGTTTTAGATGGCTTTTTCCACGTGCGTAGGATTGAAATAGCGAATTCGTATTAAAAAATTATTTATATTTTACTCATCTTAATGATACATAATTACTGATAAATAGACGTTTCGGTCTGTCATCAGACCATTCTCAATATTAAACGATTAATGCATAAACCAAACCTACAGCAATACTTCTATACATAATCTAACTTATCTCACAACATATATTCGCTTTTTTCGGTATTACAACTATATACATTTCCTCACGCAAGATTTTACAATCTAACAATTAATCCTATAACAGTTTCGATCGTCAAATTCTGTCATTATTATAATGTCCGCACTACATGTGCTATGTTTTGCTCTACGTTGGAAATTTCCTCGTGACTGAGATGACAGCTTCCTCTCTTTAAACAACTTCAATATCATCCGTTCATCGCTGAACCACAATCTCAGATGTCAATAATTGAACCACAGAACTTCCTGATTCTCCGTTAAATTATTTAATCAAGACATTAGCAGCACAGCAAGGAATCACGTACTAATAATAATATTACAAAAGTCGAGAAAGCATAACACACATGATCAACACTCGACGACACAGACAATACTAAATATACACTACAAAATCTCACGATTTTTCTCGCATTTTCCCTTAGCTAATATTACACACACACACACGCACGCACGCACGCACGCACGCACGCACGCACGCACGCACAAATCTCTCTCTCTCTCTCTCACTCTGTGCGTGCGTGCGTGCGTGTGTGTGTCTGTGTGTACACACGTATAAAAATAATTGCAAAGCCACTTACTTCTCACGTAGGACATGTCATCGTTGTATTCTTCTATGTCACGCTCAGTAACAGAATTCCAATCTGATAATGGAGTCAATGATCTAGCACGTTGCTTTATCTATTTGAATAAGATATTAATTATATGTTTCTTTTTAGAGAGTTCAATTAAATTTATGAAGATTCTCACCTTGATCGAGAAGAAACTTCTGTCACAGCCATATCTATTTTTAATTAAAATGCAGTAGGTACCTTCATCAGAAGGTACAACTCTTTTTAATATTAATCTGATATAATCATCAATACTTTCCTTGTACGATCTCGGTCCATCCGTAATGTCTGTTAATCCCTTCATCCATATTACTAAATAGTGAAAGAAAAGGTAGGCGAAGAATAAAAAAAGAGAAATATAAACTTTAATTCTAATTGATATTCGCGGATCTAATGGACCTCTGGATATTTTCTTCAACTACGTTGTGAAAAATTGTTTATTTTCGTAATCTGTTACATAATTTAAGTTATATAATCTTATTTCTCGAATTTTGTCTTATTTCTTCAAAATAAAAAAAAATCGTTCAGTTACGTTAAGCAAAGATACATTGATTTAAAGTACACTGGACCCATGAATATCAGTCAAGGAAATTCTGGAGCGAATACCGATAAATACGGTTAATTTGAGAGAATATGAAAAATTAAGAGAGAGTTGTTTTATCGAAGACTTACTTCGAGGCTTAGGAATACCGCTAACTCGGAAGGATATACTAATGTCTTCGCCAACGATTACATCGATCGATTTCTTGGAAGGTCTCGAGACGAATATCGCAGGTTTTCCCCCGTGCTCTCCAGCACTCGATGATATTACATCTACTGTCGCGCTTGTATCCATTTGTCCATAAGCATTAATTGCTCTACAAACGTATGTATCCTTTTCTGGCTCTGTCGCGTTAGGCGCAATTAAGGTATAAAGTCCACGTTCTACAAAGGTTCTTGCTTTTGGTACCGTAATTGGCTCCTTTCGATCGCCGCGTAGCCATTTTACTTCCGGAGATGGTATACCTACAATAGATTAAGAAGAACTTCATAATTCGATATATAATTTACTCTTTTGATGAGCATTTTATTTACCTTTGAGTTCTACTTCACGACCGATAGATCCGTCAGTGGGTACGCTATAATCCTTTGGTAAGTTAGAGAACCGTGGTCTTCGTGCGAATTTTGATCTAATTTCGTCGCTTAACCGTGAATTGTTTATGGATCGCCAATCTAAAATTATGTTATTATATAATATTTAAAGGCATTGATAATAATTAATAACATATAATATTTCAATCACCTTCAATATTAACAATATGGGATATTTCTTCAGTATGTAACACGTTTGTTGCGCGACACGTATATTGTCCATTATCAGTGACATCAGGATCTGTTATTTCCAATCGATAGACATCATCATCGAGAGAGCTCTGTTTGTAACGTTCACCTTGAAGAATCATTCCGTCTTTTAGCCAGGAAATCATAGGAACCGGATGTGCTCGTATACAACATTCCAGGATCAGTTTACGATCAGAATATCGATAAGTATCTAAAAGAAAAAGTGGTTTATCCTTCAAAAAACTCGTATAAATTAATACACGTTAAAACGGGTATACTTGTGCATATACGAGTATACCTTTAATTAATTTTACAAAAGTTGGAGGTGAATGTATAGGTTTGTGATCGGAGTAAACTCTCAAGATAGATTCGGTAGTCGAAGTGCCATGTGTATTTTCAGCTACGCATGTGTATATTCCAGCATCTTCAGAAAGGACATCCTGTAATTCCAAATAAGCCATACCGTTTTCGAATCGCATTTTATAATGATTGTCAGATGCATTTAGCTTTTGATCGTCTTTAGTCCAATAGATGCGTGGTTCTGGATTACCAAGAACGGTGCAGGTCAGCCTTGTCCTCATACCAACTTCTACGATTCTGTTTGTCAATCTTGTACAAAACGATGGTTTCTTTGGTTTAGCCCACTGAAAATTCTGTAATGTAAACATTAAAAAAATTTTAAGATTCTTCTTTACTAAAATTGTAAAAAGCAGTTTAATATTAAATAACTACCTCATTTTGACGAAGGTCAGTGAAGCTGGACGGTTCAGACATACAAGTATTGAAATCGATACGTGAGATAGCATTCGCTTTTGTACGTCGGAGAGATCGCATACACGTACTAGGTACAATAGTGGCATCGCTATCCCCAGTTGAATAATCTTCGTATTTCAGCAAATTGATTGGTCTCACGCGAATCATGCGATTTTCTCTTTTTCTGCGCCTTCTGTACAAAGATCTTGTATCGAAATAATATTTATCCGTGGAAGGACTATGTAATTTATAATCCCAATAATTGTCGAATCTTTTCCTATTTAGTGATGTTAAAGAATCTCTCCAACTGTATGATCTGGAAGTACTAGAAAGCGTTGGGATGTCAGAATTAAACCGAAAAATATGTTGTCGAGAATAATCAACATTGAAAAACATTGACGTCGATTTGTCTGGGTTATTATATGTGTCTTCCAACATATTTCTAAGAAAACGATCGGATTCATTTTCGCGTTTTCTAGACCATTCATTTTCTCTTATTTGCTCTTTTTTTCTTTGTCTATTTCTAAATCTTTCATCTTCTTGTCTTTTTCGTAATCTTTGTTCTTCCTCCCATAATAATCTAGCAGTCTCATCTCTCCTAATTTCTTTTTCCATTCGATGTAGCCTTTTATCAATATCTCTCTCCTGATAATCGTTTTCTTCTTTCTGTACTCTGCGTTCACCACTTCTATTAATGCGTTCTTCTCTCATATATAACCAATTTTCATTGCTTTGCGATTTTCTCTGTTTCCATTCCTCTTCCTTTTTCAATCTCTCCTCTTTAATATCCGGTTTGCTCTTTTCTTGTTGTTTTCGAAGTATTTTCTCATTGTTTTGTTCTTTTTGATCCTCGTTCATTTGCAAACATAAATTTTTATCTTTTCTTAATTCTTGGATGTCATCGTTTTTTACTTTTTCTTTCTGATTTTGTTTTGTTTGTATTATTTGATTTCGTTCTTGATCTTCAATTATTTCTTTATATTTTCTTCCGGATTTGTTTGTATCATTTTCTTTCTTTATATCATTTGTATACTTATGTTGTGTTTGCTGTACTATTTTTTCTGTCTCAATTTCAGCTTCCTTTTTTTCTATTGATTCCTCTATTATCTTTTTTATTTCTTTACTTTCTATTTTATCTCTTTCCTGCGCGGCTAGATTCCTATCCTTTTCTATATTTTTCTTAGTATTTACTTGTTTATCTTGTGCTATTTTCATTTCTTCAAGCTTGGTTGTCTCTTTTTGTTCTTCATCCCCTTTCCTCGATATTTTTACTTCATCCTTTTCCCCTTCTGCTTCTTGTTTTATTATTTCTCCTTTTTTACTGGCATCATTTTTTTTTTCTTTTAATTTTTCAACTTTTTCATTTTTTACTTCTTTATTTTTTCCTTCCTTCACTTTTACTATCATCTCCTCGTTCAACCCTTTTTCTTCTTTTTTTATTTCTTTCACTTGTTCCTTTTGTTTTGCTTTTTTAATCTTTTTTTCTTTTTTCCCCAACTCTTCAGTTTGTAGATCTTCTGTTTTTTTGGTTTCTTCTTCTTTTATTTTTTCTGTTATCTCTTTTTTCTTCTGTTCTTGCTCTTTTAACTTTTCTTTTTTCTTTTCGAACTCTTCAATCTTCTGATCTTTTGTTTTGTCGCTTTCTTCTTCTTTTATCTTTTCTACTACCTCTTCTTTCTTCTGTTCTTCTTGTTTTGCTTCTTTTAATTTTTCCATTACACTTTGATGTTTTGATTGTTCATGTTTTTCTTCTTTTATTTTCTCTTGTGCAGATTCTTTCTTTGCACTGATTTTATCTTTTTCCTTTTTCATTTCTTCAATCTTTTTATTTTCAATCTTTTCGTCTTCTTCCTTCTTTTCTTTTTCTTTTGTCTCCTGTTGTTTGTGTTTAATTTTTGTCTTTTCCTTTTCTTCCTTTTGTTCTTTTCCTTTTTTTAGATTATCGTTTTCTTCTTTTTTCTGAACGTTATTTTTATTTTGTGCAGTACCTTTTATATCTTTAAGATCTTCCTGCTCCTTTTTCAATTCTTCTTCTTTGAGAATTTTTTGCTCTATATTTTTCTTTATTTCTTTGGCTTCTGTTGCGTTGTTACACTCATTCTTTTCTTTTTGTTTTAATTCAACTTCTTCTATTTTCACAGATTCCTGTTTCTTTTCTTGTGCTTTATCAATTTCTTTTTCTTTTTCTCGATTTTTTTCTTCTTTCCCTTTAGCTATATCTTTTCCCGCATGTTCGGTCGGTTTTAATTTTTCAATATTATTTGTATTTTCCTGTTGTTCCCTTTTTTTAATTTTGTCTGCATTTTCTTCCTTTTCTTTCGATTCTTGCTCTACTTTCCTTTCTATACCTTTAGATTCCTTTGTTATTTTATTTTTCGTTTTTTCTTTAATGCTGTGATCTGCTTCAGTTTTCGTATATTCATCTACTTTTTTCGTCTCTTGTATAGTTTCTTGCTCCTTTTGTTCGTTTTCTTCTTCCTTTTTTTCTATCTTTTCTTTGTTCCTTTGTTCACTTTTTTTTTCGCTCATTTCTTCAATATTTATAAGTTTTTCACATTCTTTTATTTCGTTTTTCACATTTTCGGCTGTACTAATTTCTTCTTGATGATTTTTAATTTCTTTCATTTTTTCAGTTTCTTTATGCTTTTTAAAGTCGTCAGTTTCTTCTACTTTTTTACATTCTTGCTTTAGCTTTTTATCTTTTATACTTTTTTCACTTTGCTCTGTTTCTTCCTTTAATTCAATTTTCTTGCTTTCCTGTTCTTCATTTACTTTTTGTATTTTTTGAATTAAGTTCTCTTCCTCTTGTTTCTCATTTTTATTTTTTATTTGATTAACTTTTTCTTTATGTGTTAACTTCGTTGATTTTTCATCATCTATTTCTTTTTTCTGTTTTATTTTTTCTGGTTTCTTCGTGTCTTCTTTATCTTTCGTATCATTGATTATTGCAGAGTCTATATCTTTTACCAACTTAATTTCTTCCATTTCTTCTTTCATTGTTTCTTTTTTAGTTTTATTGTCTTTTTCGACAGCTGTTTCAATTTCAGATGTTTTATTTTTTTCCTGTATGGATTTCTTTTGAAGAGCCGTTTTGTATTTATCTATTAATGAAATCGTTTCTTGCAAAGACTGATCAGATATAATATTTATCGTAGTTAGTAGTTTACAAATTGGCTTTTCAAGTATCATTAATCCATCTAGTATTGTTTCTTCGCACCATAATGTTTTTGTTGCTTCTACTGATTCTTGTAATTCGAGTAGACATGGTATCAAACTTTTCGAAAGACCATCAAAGTTTGTATGTTGCGGTTCCATCAATGGTTTATCAGCTGACTGTTCTCGCATTACAGCTATAGATTTCTCTAGTCTCTGAAGAGCATTAATCATTGAATTAGAAGTATTTGGTTTTTCTTGTATCTGTATAATACATTGTTTAATATTCTCTAAAGATTTGATCAACATTCCAAGTGCTTCGTATTCGATATAAATTTCAACAATTGACACCTGTTGTTGCTTTAATTTGTTTTCGATGGTTTCAATTGAGTTGTTAATATCTGAAATATTATTTATTATTTTCATTGATAATTCTAAAAGCTTTTTATTTTGTTGCATAGATACAATTGTTTCGAGCACGTTTAATATTAGTTCTAATGGTCTTTCCAAAGAATTTAAACATACGCTTGACGATGTTTTTATAATCTCAATAGAGTGTTTTAATTCTGTTAAGGGTGTAATGAGAGTGGCGGATATCATAATATCAATTTCTATCGTATCTGATTGTTTGGACACTGTTTTATCAACAATTTCTTCCTTAAGAAATAAAATGCATTTCTCAAAATTGGAAAGAGACTCGATAAAAGCATCAATACTATCTTTGTCTTCAACAGTACCTAAATTAAATTTATTTTTTAGTATCACTAAGTTCTCTTGTACATTAATAAGTGGTATTTCCATCGTCTTGAGAGTTTCAATTTTGGTAGAATCACCTTCTATACGTGACATCGCGAATTTAATACTTTTCATTAATTTTACTAATTTTTCGATAATTGACCAGTCTGGTATTAAAGTTTTTGTTTGCTCTTTCACAATTATAGTTTCAGGTTCTATTATGCTGCATTGTCGAATATCAGCAATTGATCTTTCTATTTCATGCAAAGGAGTTGCTAAACATTCCGTAATCCAATTGTTTGCATCATCGGACATCAATTCAACATCCGGCGATATCACTCGTGTTTCTAAAACAGATATAGCACGTTGAAGATCAAATAGAGGTTCAATTAGTGTATTCAATATGACATTATTCTTCGGTCGATCCGTTGATGTTTCAACCAGTATATGATCCTCTATTACAGCAATAGAGTGACGCAATTCTTCAAGTGGTTCCATTAAAGGACGAAGAATAAATTCATTTTTATCATCGATGGCAAATGAATGTTCATTAGCACGTTCAATAGCCATTTGTTCTCCAATAATTATTGCAGCTGCATGTTTTAATTCCGATAGAGGTTGTATTATTGTTTTCATCAATGAAATATTTTCTTTTTCCGACAAAGAACACGTCGTATTATATGGCTGGACTGTTTTCTGTTCTTCGACGATCAACGCTAGGCATTCTCGTAGTTCAGTTAGTGGCTTTGCTAATGTTTTCAATGTAGAGGTTTCATCTTCGGTCATCGATGTTGCAATTTCAATTGGGGATTCGATTGCTTCTTGATCGATCACCATTGGACGCGTAATTCTTGAAGAAGATTCATCGATTACATCTGCCCATGTATTTAAAGACGAAACATCTTCAGAAATAGTGTCTGTCGTAGGTTCTATAATAATCTGCTGATAGTTACACATTGCTATACGTTCCGTCAGATTATAAAGAGTTTCAGTAAAAGTGTTCAGTGCCGAAATATTTTGTTGTTGTTCAAGTTCATTTAAAAAATCTGGTGCAATTGCGGTTACTTGCTGAATGGATGCGATAGAAGCTTTCAAATCCACTAAAGGCTGCGCGATTGATTTCAGTAAAGCGTCAGTTTCTATTTTCGATGTAGTTTGACTTCCTGCTTCTAATACCACCTGTTCTTGTACAATAGCAATAGACTTTTGTACTTCCTCAAGAATAGGTTGTAGAGCAAGTTTTTCTAGGCTTACAAAAGATGATTCAGTTATTAGGGGGTGTGTACCGTGTTTAATAATATGTTCCTTTTGCACCGTTGCGACAAAAGATTTTTCAAGTTGTTGCAAGGGACTGACAAGACTGCTTAACACAGTAACTGGTTTCCTTATTTCCGTAACATTTAAAATCTCAGATTCTTGCATTTTAGTTTCTTCAATAGTTAGAATCTGCTCTTGTAATAATCGCAAAGGTGCAATAATATTTTCAATAAAATGTGTGTCTATTTTATTGGACTGTTTCGATTTTATATTTGTTGTAAAAGCTTTGATAATTCTTGATCGTTTAACAACAACGGAGCAACATTTTTTGAACTCTTCAATAGATTTCGTGAATGCTTGCAACGCGGATGCATTCTCGATCTCTACAATCTGTTGACCAGCGTTTTCTATTGCATTCAATTGTTGCAGAACTACCATCGACGTTCTTAAATTATTAAGTGATCCAGTAAAGTTCTTCAATGTTACTAAATCATCTGTATTCATATCCACAAGTACATCCTGGATTGTCGTCAATTGATCTAAAATTATTGTCACAGATTTATTCAAGTTATCCAATATCGGTTTGATTGACAATTGTTGCAAGACAAGGACGGTTTCTTCATAAGATGCAGTTAAGAATGATTGCTGTAATTCTTGCAATGGTTGTATCATACATTTTAAAGTAACAGCTTTCGTTGATTCTTTTGTTTCCAATGTTTGGGATACTTGATCTTCGAGTTTTAGTATTGCACTTTGCAGTTCTTCAATTGGAATAGTCATCATTTTCAGTAGAGAAGTTTCACTAATTGTTTGCTTTTCAATATCTTGTTTAATTACAGCCATCAGTTGACTCGCTATTTCTTCTACTGAGTTTGCAAACGACAGTACAGTTGATACTTTCTCAGTTTCAGTACTTTTTTCAGTATGATCGACAATTTCTTTGACTATTGTTAACGGTAATTTCAGATTTTCTAGAGCTTCATTCAATGTTTTTAACATAGGAACATCATTCAAGATTGGTTGCTCCTGAACTAAAATAATCGAGTTTCTCAGTTCTTCTAGCACAAGTTTTAAATTTGCATTTGCCAATAAATTTTGATTTTTACTAAGTTCTTCCTCCTTTATGACTGTAGTTTCCTGCGTACCTATAATTAATAATTGTTCCAATTTTTCTAAAGAATCTATCACTGTATGTAACTGAGCGATCTCTTTTTTCTGTTCTGGCACTTCTAATAATCCAGTTTTATAAATATTAAGGTTTTCAATTTGAGAAAGTGTTTCTTGTAAAATATGAATTGAATCAACAGTCTTACGTAAAACTTTTGGATCCAGCTCTTGATCGTTTTGTTTAATAATTTTTAACGGCACAGATTCCATTTTCATTTGACTAATAATAGACATAAATCTTTCCCCAAATTGCACTATCGATTTAACAAGATTTTGCAAAATCGCGATCTGTATAATACTTGATAATTTTACTTCTTGCTGGATAAATTGAATAATTGTTGAATCAGACTGAATGCAAGCAATTGACATTCTCAAGTCTTTTAATGGTTCCATGACTGCTTGTACTAAAAATGACTTAGACATTTCACTTGAACTGGTTTCAGTTACAGCATTAAGTTCCATTTGTTCTTGAACTGTAGCAATTGACGTTTGTAATTCTTCCAAAACTTTTACAGATAATTTCAGTAATGTCACCGTATTTTTTTTAATACCTTCGGTAACTTTAGACGATAATGCAAGTTGTAAATTTAGTAACTGTTCCGTCAAATCCGAAAACGTAATTGTTTTCTTATTGGAAGATTCTAAAATTCCTATTTCTCCAATTTTATTAAATGATTTACACAATGTTTGAAGAGAAGAGATAATCGCTTCTAAAATTTCATCTTTTATTTGTTCTTCCTGAATCATACTGTTATCAGATACTTGAGTTAATTCTAACTTTTGTTGATCAATCGTTGCAAAGTTGTGTTCTTCAATTTTTTCTAAAGGTTCTGCTACTGATTTTATCATTTTTATATTTTCAGGAAGTAATTCTTCGATTTGACTGGACTCTAAAGATGTTAATGCTTGCTGCGGCGTCTCTACTGCACCTTGTTTTCTTGAACCATCTATTTCTTCAGTAAGTATTTCATCTGCTTTTGCTTTGACGGGTTTTAAATCATCGATGGCTTTTGACTCGATCATGTCCGTGGAAGGCAAATCAGACTTTAAAAGCAAAGTCTTGTCACATTTTACCTGTTCTTGAGATTCCATTATAGCTTCTACGAGCTCCTCAAGGGGTCGCGCAGTTGTTTCTTCTTTTATTTTCGATATTTCCGTTTCTTTTTCGTCAGCGATATTAACACATTTTGATATTTGTATTTCATTTAGAGATTTAATGGTATCGTTAATACATGATATTAAGGTTTTCGAGATTGCAGATGGTTCTTCATCTTTGTCAATATATTTGTCTTCATCGATTGTTTGACATATAGATGCTAATACATTTTCAAGAGCATCTAAAGGTTTAGAGATAAATGGTAAAGACGCCATAACGCTCTCCTTTAATTCTGGTTTCACTCCTTTATGAATCAAGAAAATGACTGTGTTGACAGCTTGTTCGAAATCAGCAAGAATATTTTTCATATGAGAGAATTGATTATCTAATAATATACTGATAGATGAGAAAGATATTACTGTCTTAATAGAAATATTTGTAGCTTGTAGATCGTTAAGAATTTGTATTAAGGCTGTTAACTCTTGTATTTTCCGCTTATTTTCCTCAGATTTTGAAATCAGAGATTCTTGTTTAGCAGATTTCACAAAATCAATCAATTCTTTTAACGGCTGTATTAAATTACTTATTGCAGAATTAAATTTGATTATATCACTTGTCAAATGTTTTCGGTTTTCATTTTCTTTCTGATCTTCTTTGCTTTTTCTCATATCCGCTAGATCATTTTTTGATTGTTCAACGGAGATTACTGCTTCTAGATTTTCTAAAACTGGTATTTGTGCCGTCGTAGATGTATTTTCAATTTCAGATTGAATATTAACTTTTTGAATTATTACTTTAGATGACGGTATTTCCGTGATCGTCATTACACTCTCAATTTCTTCTTGTGATACTTCAATAACTTCATCAATGGCACTTTCTACTTTCGTAATAATCATTCTCACTTTTTGTTCAACTGTTTTTTCTATGACACCAATAGAATCTTTCACGTTATCTAAAACATCTATAACGGCAGAAAAAGTCTCTATGATCGGTGCTCCTTCAGAAGCACCTTCTTGAACAAGTCCTGTTCTGTGAGCCGATAGGGAAAAACTTAATTCTGAAATAGAGTCGGTTAGTTCTTGAAGCTGAACTATTAAATTATACGAAATTGCCGAAGGCGTTTTCTCTTCATTTTCTTTCAGAATGTTTAATGCCGACAGAAGTTGATTAGTCGGATAAAAAAAGCCTTCTACGATAGCTTCTTCATCAATTAATTCACTATCAACTTGATTGAATTGCGTTTGTGCAAAAGAGATTTGTTTTTTTAATGCTTCCAAACATTTGGACACTATTCCATATGTACTTTTATCGATGTGTTCTTCTAAAGTTATTATAGCGTTATCTAAGCGATTTAATGTGCCGGTAAGTCGATGCTGAAGAGAAATATTGGTACTACTAGATCGGCGCGAATAATCTGTCTTTCCAATTTGTTTTTGTACTTGTAGAATAGCAGAATTGAGCAATGTCAAGGATTCATTAAATAAGAAAGGCTCTTCCATATTTATAGATATTTCAATAGTGTGACAAACTTGTTTTCGTAAACCATCGACCGCTCGCAGAATAACGCTTCTCCTCTCGTCTAATAAAGAAGCTTCAGGAACTAAACTTCTTCGACTGCTCTGTACCATTGAAAGACAACTATGAAATTCTAATAGGGGTTCAAGAAGATTTCGTAATTCAAGAATTAATGGTTCTCGTCGTTCTAATACGTCTACTTTTTGGATAGTACTCTTAATATCTTCTAAAAGAGCAGTGATAGGTTTTCCTAAAATATTTGCTACGTCAGTTTCAAGAGTTTCTTCTGCAGCTTTTTCTAGATCACTCATACGTTCTAAAATACTTTCCAATAGTTTTGAGATGTCCCAGAGATATTCCAAAATTTTTCGTCTTAATAATATTTTTTGAATTACAATTGGAATTTCCATTTTTATTTCTTCTACCACGCATAGAAGAAACTCAAATTCCTTTTTTATATCTCCATCTTTACCGATAAAATCTTTTATCTGTTTTATCACGTTGTTTTCTATTATATTCAATAACGGAGTAAACTGATTTAGTATCATGAGTTCTGAAACATCGTGTTCGTGCGGTTTGGAAAGGAGATTTCGTATATTTGTCAATGGCTGTATTAAATTAGTCAGCACCAAAGTTGTTTGATTAAGTTTTTCTTCGAATAAATCAGTTTTTTCACCAAAGATAATCATTACGCGTACTGTGGAAATAGTCCTTCTTAACTCTTCGATGGAATTAGCTAATTTTGATTGGGGAATTGTGGTAGATTGGCTTGTTGATTCTTCGAAATTGTCTAATATACTAGTTATTTCCAATTGTAGCTTTTCTAAAGTTTCTGACAAGATCATAATTAATTTGCTCGCACTCTCTTCACTTTCCTGTTTTTTGTTTTTTATGGTTTGTAAGACGACATCACTAGAATTGTTTTTTGTTATAGCTTGCTCAATAAGTAATGAAGTAGATTCGGCTTCAAATGGCGTTGAAGCTACTTCTGTAAGAGTACCCGGAATTGTTTCTCGAGAAGCTGTAATAGTTTCTTCTTCTATTTCTTCCGTTTCGTTAAATGCTTTAGTATTTTGTTTAAATTCTTGCTGATGAAGAATATCTTTGACTGAAAGCAATATTTGATTTTTAATTTGTTCGATGATATCTATTATCGGTCGTAAAGATTCTTCTTCCGCATGTTCACGAAGAACATCCATGATAGTTTGCAAAAGATATTTCATAGGATAATCCAATTTTTTTAAAATTGAAAGATCTTCTGGTTCATGATATGTAAAAATTGCGTTTTTAAGCCTCAGTAGCGGTTCTCGAAGATCAATCAATGCATCTATCAAACTGTCATCACTTGGTGATTTAGAATATGACGTTTGAATAGTAATTTGACTCATATTTCTTTTCAATTCCTGGATTGTTGAGCTCAATGCAGATTTCATTTCATCTTCATATTGCTTTGTACTATCTTCAGATGTAGCGAATAACCAATTTTTAATAGGATCTAAAGAACGATCTATTTGATTAGCCAAATTGGATTTTGAATAACTTTTTTCTTCTTTATTTTCTTTTTGAGATTGTGTAATACTTTCTTCTTGCCATTTTTTCTTTGATATTTCTTTCGCTATAAAAACTGTATCCTTTTCTATATCTTCCAACAATTCCAACATAGGTATTATTAACTCGATCGAAGAACTGTTTTCAATTACACTGTGAACTACCTCTTTCAATTTACTGATGGGATTCATCAAATCATTAAGAATTTGTTCTTCTTGTGGTTCGTGCTTTTCCGTTAATAAATTTCTCTGTAGATTTAACAACGAGTCACTTAGTTTGTTAATTTCTTGAATTATTTCATCATCAACTGGATTTTTTAAGTTAGCGATTGTAACAGCCGAAGAACCGATTGTCTGACGTAATGCCTCAATACTTGTAATTAAATGACACGAGGCTATATACTTTTCTTGCTTTTCTAAAACGGATGATAGAGCAAAGTGCACATTGCTTAAACTTTGATCAATGTTTAGATTCTTTAACATATTTTGAATGGTTTTTGTCTCCGATAATTGTTCCACTAATTCTGACATTTGTTTGTCGGTATCTTCCAATATTTTGAGAATTGCTTCTATTCGAGAAATTACCTCGTGGTTTTCAAATTTTTTCAGTATGATGATAACAACACTTTTTAATTTTACAATGGCAAAATTTATTTCTTGTATCATCAAAAGTTCGATAGAAGTACATCTCTGTGATAAAATTAATTGAAGATCCAATAAGGGCTCCCTAAATTCTATCAAACTGTTTAATGTTTCATTCTCTTTCAACATCATTGCAGCGTATGCTGTGTGACATACGCAATCTCTCAATTCCGTTAAACATGCAACAAGACCCGACGCTATCATAACTTGTTGTGGACTGCTAGATTCATTCATCGTAAATTTCGAACGTTCGATACAATCTAAAATTCTATTAAATATCGATTGAATATTGATTAATGAGTCTGTAATTTCTTCAAATATATTTTGAAACACATCGGAGATTGGTTTTAGCGATGATAATTCTTTTGTTCTTCTAGTAATATTACAAATAGGATCGCGAAATTTTTTAAAAATTGTAAGCGTCGGTTGTAAAGATAATAATCCGAAATTTTCAATAACATGTGACAACTGAGCGATAACTGGTTCGAGAATTTCGCAAATGATTTCTATATGTTCTGTTGGTGTAATTTCATTAATTTCCTGTAACAATGCACGCAGAGGTATTTCCAGATTAGCCAAGGTTTCAATGTCCGCACCTACTCTTCTTGAATCTTCTAATAATTGACATACGTCGTCCATCTGCTTATGAATATTTAAAAATTGTGGTGTATCAAATAGTTTTTCACATAAAAGCTTCAAAGAATTGCGTAGAACTATTCTTGACTCAAAAAGAATATCTTGTGTCGATTCTTGATTCTCTTCCGAGACATGGCTGCTGATTTCCTTTACGTTTTTTAAATTATCTAACAATTTTTCTTTAGTAAATAATTCTTTTACTGCTTCGGTGCCGTTTCTATTATCCATTTCTATTTTTTCAATCGGTTCTGTAAGTTGATGTTTTATCTTCATATTAACTTTATCTTCCGATTCACTTCCCTCATGCTTGTAATCACCGGGGCCAGAATATTTTTCAGAATTATTTTTGTCCTTCTGTTGTTTCTTTTTTCGTTGCTTTTTTTTAGGAGCACCGATCATTGAATCGAAAGAGGAATCACCACCAATACCATCGTCTAGACTGGAACCGGTTGATCTTCCTGCGCTCAAACTGCGTTTTCTGTTATCTATTGTTCCATGTTCCAATGTCATCTGTTTCTGGACAAGACTCTCAGTGATGGAGAGATGTGCAGAGGACAAGGCGTCCGCAAAAGTGTCGCTGTCATCCTGCTTCAAAGATGAAAGCGGAGACAATGGTGGCTCGTCTTTCTGTGCGCTATGAAAGCTTTCAGATTCTATGCGTTGGCTTTTTTCGCTTTTCGATAATGATAAACTCATTGATTTTTTCCTAGGTGGCCTATTAGGAACTTTTTCATCTTCATCCGCATTATATCGAGCTGATCTTTTCAAGGAACTTCGGGAATCGCGCTCAGGTGACGAAAGGACGCGCGTCATATCATCCATAATGGAGACATCTTCGAAATCAGCTTCTGTTCGTAAATCATCATTGTCTTCCGCGCTAACAAAATAATCAGGAGATACATCAATTACTACAGCTTCCATTAACAAATTACTGGTCGTAGACGTTTCTTTGACAAATCTCATTGGTGGTAACTCGATCACATTGTGTTCTATACAAAAAATGCAGCTTTTTACCATATAATTAATACTATTGTATTTTGCCGAATCAACAAAAATTAAATCAATCTTTTTACCTGTAACATGCTCAGACAGCTGATCGGCGTACATTTCAACAATCTGTAGTGCCTCTTCCTCAGTAAGATCAGGTGTTTCGTACAGACTGACTGACACTTCTTTGCCATCAAAGCTAAAAGATACCTCGCCCCGCTCATCCAAAGTAACGGAATGATCCGTTTGCGGTGTGTCATACAATTGAGATGTTCGCTCTTCATGTATCGTTGACAATGACAAGTTTCTCGCTAGTCCATGACCATTTGATGACTGGATTTCTTTTGCATCTTTTTTATCTGTAAAGTTAAACAAAGTTACATATAATAGCTCGCTTAGGATGTCAACATAAAAGTAAAAACAGAATTGTTAAGAAAAACTTTTTATACTTTTCATATAGACGAAAGCATTATCATATAAGTGATAGTAATTAAAAATTATTATGTGTAATAAGTAAATACTACCTTCAAATCCTAGTAAAGATGCGGAACTACTGACTGTTCCCATGCAATTGGTAGCTTCACAAGTATATATTCCTAAGCAGCAAGTACCATCTTGTCCGGAAATAATTCGATGTATATCACCGGGCTTGAGTTCAACGTTGTCTTTGTACCATTTTAAAACTGGCTGTGGAACGCCGATAACTTTGCACTCTAAATTTACGGCGCCTTCTTCTGATAAGATCGCGCGTAGATTCTCGAGAAATTTCGGTTTTTTGTAATGCTTAGGAATAATTAGTTTCAAAAAACAAGAAGTAATACTATGGCCAAAATCATTTGCCGCTACGCACTTCCACTCGGCCTAAAGAAATGCGAAAAAAACGCTTATGGTTGTCTTCATATCACAGCAAATATGATCATATTATATATGTCATGAATACTCACTTGATCAATAAATTCGAGATTTCGCACTTCAAAATGGCATGTACCAAGATTCTCTTTTGCTACCTGATATTTGTCAGATTCATCCATTATTGCATCATCTCTGTACCAAGAAAGAGTTGGTTCCGGTACTACGCTTACTAAACAAAAAAGTATCTTTATCAGTGTGATGTAAAACTGCGTGAGATAGGATAACAGTTATTTAACAACTTATTTATTAAAAAAAGAAACAGAAAATACGAATACCTTGTACTGTAAAGCGAAAATTTTCGTTTATTTTTGCTTCACAACTTCTAAGGCCTTTTATAAACTTTGGTGGTTGATTAGTACTCAAAAGTTGGAAACGTTCTTCTTCGTTTAATTGATTCTGTATATCTTCAATGGTTAATTCTGCGGTACTCTTAGCTTCGCCCATGCAATTTTTCGCGATACAGCAATAAGAACCTAAATATTTTTTAATGAGTCTATAACTTAAATAGAGACTAGGAAAAAAATAATATGTAATAAATTTAACGGATATACATACCTAATGAATTAGTCCCAGTTAATTGATAAACGTCTCCTGGTTTAAGTTCTTGACCGTCTTTAAACCATCTCAGCAATGGCGTTGGGAAACCTACAACTTTACATTCGAACGAGACAAGACCTTCTTCCGTCAAGATTGCTTTCAGATTCTCCATAAAGCGGGGTTTCCTGTAGTTTCTTGGTACTTTATAGAAAATAAGATAAACGGATGATCGGATAATTATATTTTTTGTTATAAATTAGTTTGCCTATTATCATAATACGTACTAGACATTGCTACATAGCAACTCGTAAATTGCTTTATATTGTCTTCGCTGGTAACGACGCATTTCCATTCACCCTCGTCTATAGCTTCTACTTGTTTTATTTCAATTGAATATCCTCCTATGCCATCCTCCATTATATAATACTTTTCGCTAGATTCAATGCGGCCTTCTTTATTGTACCAGGCGATCGCTTTCGGCCAGGGTGGTACTTGAACTATCATTGTTGATAATGTTTCATTTATTGACATGAGATAAATGTTAATAAAAACAGAAAGAATTATTATTAATATTAATTTACCACGACAAGATAGTACTATAGTGTCTCCAATCCGACAACATTCATCTTGAAGTATCTGTTTAAATGTTGGAAGAAGTCCGGATGGTGCCAAAGCATCTGCTGGTTTCAATGAACCTTCTCGGCTTCCTCTTCCAACTACGTGAACCTAAGATAAAATAACATGTCTACATTTAATGAAATTGATGTTTGAAAATATAAGAGAATCGTTACAATTGTTATTGCGCAATCATAATAGCAAACGCATTTACTTTTGAGGAAGAATAGGTCGTTCCCATGCAATTGACCGCCTCACATGTATAAACACCGAGAGATGTTGGATCATCGGGATTAGCAGTCAAAGCAAAAACATCGCCAGCTTTGATTTCCTTGTTGTCTTTAAACCATCTCAATACTGGCGTAGGCACACCGATTACTTTGCATTCCAACGACACGGTACCTGTCTCAGTGAGCAGCGCGCGGAGTTCTTCAACAAATTCTGGCTTTTTGTAAGCTTTGGGAACTAAAAATTTATCAGATTTATCAAAATTAGTTATTAATTATCTAAAGCGAGCAAAGTTAAAAATGTCGAATAAATAGAGCGAGTGATCGATTACCAATAACGGTGAGAGTAGACGTGCATGAGGATCTCCCACTACGATTCTCCGCCATGCAAGTCCAGCATCCTTGATCCTCAACTGTGACTGGGGCAACATCAATACAATGAAAATTTCCTTCGTGAACGAGAGAGAATCTAGGTCCATCGTGAATAGGCGAGGCATCTTTATACCAAATTGTCTGAAATTAGTGATCTAATTTAAATGTAATATAAAAAAAATCTGTCGCTTAAAAATCTTATTACTTTTTGTTATAATATCTCATATACTAATTTATAGATACGTTTTGTAACACACAGTACGCTATAATATATTAGGCTATTTTGCACGTATAGCGGAAGAGGCATGCGAAGAAATGTTGGAATATATATCCCCTGGCATAGTATGCGGGCATGCGTAATAATAGTATTAATACGACGCACAAGAACGCGTAACCAGCTTCCTTTATTCTTCGTTTTTCGTCGCGAGTTCAGGTCATGGACCTCCCGTCCATCTTAGTTCGTTTTTCCCGTTTCATCTGATACTAGGATAGAAGGAAGAGACATGTCTGACAATAAGTCACCATCAGGATTCCGACTTCGGGTTGATCGTAATAGTTAACTATATATCATCCATTTATATGTTAAGCAGGGACGTATCTTACGTGATGTTATGGACATGAGTGAGTTGCCAAGTAGAATTTTCTTCTCTTATTATAATGTACAAACTATTTAATTAAATTAATATTCTAATAAACACGTACAAACAAATTATCTTCTGTTAGTATAAAGTAAAATTATCTCTATGTAGTAAATTATACCTTCAAAGTGGTTGAACTTCGAATTTCTACAAGAAATCTAGTTCGAGTGCCGACTTTTACCGCGAGATCGCTCAATCTTCTCAAGAAGACAGGAGGATCGTCCTCTTCGTAACTTGGTTCGCTGATACTCAAATCAAATTTCTTTAAAGCTCCTTTATCATTTTCTTGTCCGAGTCTCGTTGCTACGAGAGAATAGTAACCCTTGTCATTTTTACGCGATTGCTTCAAGGTCAATTGAACTATATTGCCTCGCATTGATAATTGATAACGATCTGATAAAATTGGTAATCCATCTCGTATTCTGCAAATTTGATAAATCAAATAATATTAATTTATTACGAGAGTGACAAATTAAATTAGAGTAAATTTAAATAAAAAAAAAAAATTGCTATAATCTTCATTTGTCCAAAATATTTGTCTATATTATTTTGCTGTGTTCTCCATATACGTATTTTACATTTACACTACATAAAAATATATTGGCCCGACATATTTCGGTCAACAGGATGATCTAGAGTCTTGGCATTGCTCTACTGCCCTATTTTTGTCACCTTTTTCACAATGTGAAGAGCTTGTTTAAAATCAAGAAGAAAGTTGTCTACATCTAACAAAGTAATCTTTCACACTTATTTCATTCATAAATAAATTATCATGTTGTGTAAAAAATAATAGGAATGTAGAATGATCCTAAAAATATCATAGACCAATGTATCAGGCATTACAACTTGATGCAATTGCATGCATCTGACGTGAGAGTTCACGCGATATGACGCAACATTGCCCTTCAGTATAATTTCTATTATTCACTTTATATATTAAACGTGTATAATCTTATATGCATAATATTTAAATATTTAATTAAATATTTAATAATATATTAGGTTTGTTAAATAATTTAATTTGAGCGTCAACATGGTTGATATATACAAAACGTTTAAGAATATGAATGATATTATATAGCTCTGAGGAACTATATATAATTATTTATAGAAATTAGTACATTAAATTAAATCAAGAATTTTTTTATTTTCCTACCGGTATTCCGATCCATCGGAGGAGGACCCGGTAATAACGTTCTTTTTACCATTAGTGCATTTACAGCAATCGCTTCCCATGATGAACCAAAATAAAAGAAGCGATTTCTTGTTTTATATCAGAATGCACCATTGATGAGGTAACAGCCATAAATTGCCCACATTCTTTTACAGACACACAACATTTCGGTTTGAGATTTAGCTTTATAAATTCTTCAATATCACTTCTTTTTTTATTTTTCAAATATCTAAAAATATTTCCAGAACATCAACAATGATTTGCCACCTACTTCAATTTCTAAAGTATTGATCTGTCGTGTATAATCTTTCTTCATGACACTGCAAGCACCGCGTGAGCGACAAAATTAGCAGAATACACATTGGTCGATCGAATTCTGATAGCGCGGTGGCGCTCTGCAAATTCGTTTTATTGAGTCATCGACATACGTCTCAAATTTATCAAGAATATCAACACATTCATTTAATTTTAATTGTATATCATCAAATTGTGTAAATCTTGATTTCCTTTCAATTTTTCACGTCATTATATCTTTATTTTTAAGTTTACAATCATAGATTTTTGAGCCTTTTAAAAGATTTTTATTCGAAGATAGAATCCACAATAGGGAAGCGAGTCCTTTTATATTTTTCAACTCATGATTTAACTTAATTATTCGTATTTAAGATTATTTGAAACAAATGTACAAGGAAACAACAATTGACCGAGTTCTAAATTAGAGTTTCAACAATTTGGATTCAATTGAGTCCACGTAACCACCTTTTTAAACTTTTGATAAATAAGAGACGCATACCGATGCACTCAAATTGTCCGATTTAAAACTCTTTCTTAGGGATTTGTCGGTCCTCGCGACGCTCTTTCAGCGTTAGACTGATAGCGAAATGCCAACGTCAAACTGTCCCCTCCCAATTTTCCACCTCCATCAACGAGTTTGTTGAGATAGTTTCGAGGAACTCCAAGCAACAGGCTATTTTATCTAGTAAGAGCCAACCGAGGAATAGCTGGACCGGGTGGGAGCATCGGGCATCTTTCATATTTCCATGAAAATTTCGGGCCCGGTCAAAATTAGTTTATGTATAGTAATGTTTATTGCAGAAGGGACATATGTCGCAAAAACAAAAATTTTCATAATTCATTCGTATTACCATCATGATATTGCGTTTACTTCTTTACTACGATGAAAATATTCTAAGCCAAAGAATATGTGGGATATATGGTTTCACATTAAAAATTCGATAAACATCACAATTATATTATGAAATCATTGCATAAATGTACCGCAAATAATCTCAAGTTGTGCGAAATATTTTACTTTTTCGGATGTTTTCATGGAATTTTATTACATAAAATAAGAAGTAGCAAATGTATAATGATTTGTGGTCTACACCTCTAACATTAGTGAATGAAATAAAAAACTAATAACATTTAGTTTTTTTTATCTTATTCAAGATGTAAAAATAAAAATATATAGTACGTTCTTAAAATATATTTCGGAATAGCTTAAATCGGAACATGATATCCTTTTATAAATCATGAAGAAACCTATTACAAGCATAAACTGTTACAATAGCATATTGTTTGCTTTCTTTAATACTTATTGGTGTTTAAACATCAAAAGTATAGACATATATGTCGCTTACATTCCTAGCATTGGCAAAGTGATCTATGCAGAAATATTGAGTGAAGCTACATGAGGCAAGTGTAATTCGGTTCTCCGAAATTAAGTGCGCGACGGCTCAAAATAACTCGCGTTTGATCCTTGGCACGTCCCAAGGTTCTATGTAAAATTAAGGCCAATGTATGAGAGTGAACGATAATGTGAAAACGAAACATTATTTCTAAATTAAAAAGTTACATCACAATAGAAACGAGTACATATACAAAAAAGCTGTTAGCATTTTAGTCTAGTATAAACTTACAGTTCGAATCGTAAGTCATCGTAATTTTCGGATAGAGCCAATTTCAGTTCGATAATAATATCTTCACCTACATATCCTTGAACTGATACGATCTGATCTTCTTCGATCCATTCTGGTGGCCCTTTATTTTTCAACGTATCTGCATACATTTACATAGCACGGTAATTAATTACATTTTTGCATTTTTACAATATAAAAAAGTTTATTATTAATTTTAATATTGAAGACTCTTATTAAAGAACTATTCTTTATCGATATATACGATGACGGGAGGAAACTTTCTGTTGAAAAGCTATCTGTTATTTCGAGACTCGTGTGCTTTGCAAAATTATTACAGGAATGATAGTAGTACCCTTATGCAAAATAATCTTATACAACACACACCTCCAAGGGATGTCCCTACAGACGTCCAAAGGACAATCTACGTCCTAAGGATGTTTCCCGGGCGTTCCTCGGATAAAATATGTTGTGTGAAATAGCATATAAATATAGACGACTATGTAACAAAAGCATGATAAAGCACAAAACCATTTAAGATAATAAACCGAAAAGCCAATCTATCAAAGTCTCAAAAATTTCATATTTTTCTTTGAAAGATTGCTTCTTCTAACAAATTTTACCTGAAATATACTTCGTATTTTGATTAAATGCACCTATGCACACCCAGATTGCAACATTATAAATAAAAATGTTCACTTTTATCTAGCAGAAATTTTGGCAAACAACACTATTGATCTTTATATTGAATTATAATTTTGTGAAAACATTAATTATGAATTTACTAAGCATATTTTGTAAAATCAAATATTTTTTACTCATTTAATGTGTATAATGTAAATGAGTTTTATATCAGCTGTAAAATATCACGACATATACTTTATGTATACAAGACTAAAATTGATAGCTATCAAAGACAAAGTTTAGCGATTTAATAATTACAGGAATTAAAAGAATATATACAAGTATAGATATAAGTAATAAATAAATTTTGTCATTTTGAACAATAAATATTTTTCATATTAGTTGTACAAGTTTTTGTTATCTTTTTACATGAACTTCTCTTTTATGAATTCTTAAGCTAAGTCATCATTTACCATTTCTATTTTACGTATTTTATCTACACATTGACACTTACACGATTCATATATTTTTTTCCTCCTCCTATTATAATATTTTATTTATATGTCGTATAGATAAACAATTGACACGCTATCATTTTTTTCATTGCAAACATATAAGACACACATAAGCATAAAAATTAAAAATCCGGCACCTTTCGTCATGTTGTCAATGAATCAACTGCATCAATCAAGATATCGTCTTGGTTCATCATTGCCGGTTATACTGGCAAACTTGCTATAGCAATTCAATTGTGTATCTTACCTGTTAAGGTCATCTCGTTAGATGTTATGTAGAACGATCTTTCCGTATATTGACATTACGTGCAGAGATCCGAGATGCGTACGCGTATATTACTCAAGAAGACCTGCACCGTCTTCCGCCACCACCGTCACCAACTTGTTTCTGTCTCGATCCTATATTAATACAGCACACTCTACGCTGCGATGTCTGACGGTAGGAGACCCTGCTCCGTTCTAAAATCGTCTCGATGCCATACTCTCAGCTTTGTCGTTTTAACGAAAGAAGCACATGCGCCGTTTGAAATCTCCATACCCTCTTTCTATAATATCTAGTTGTCGTTGATGTAATTGATAGTAATGTTCATAATTCTTAATTTCATAATTTGTTTTCTTTCTGTTTTCTTGTTTTATACCTCATTTGCATATACTTCAAAATTGCAATTAAATAATTAAGTAAATTAAATTTAGTAGAATAGTAAAAAAAACATTACTCGTATTGCAAAATTTTACATGGAAGCTAGATATATGCGAAGGTCACTAGTGCATGTATTTAAATAAGTATATAAAACGTAGATAATTTTAGAATAACATATAATCACGTACGTATAATAATAATAATAATATACATAACATATTAATATAATATGAAATAATGGAGCATGTAATAATTAATATTTTAATGTAGTGTGAAAACATATATAATTTATTAGGAGTACAGAATTAACATTCATTATAAATAATAGTTAACAGTAACAAGTTTAGATTAAAACATATATGAGAATACTATAAAGTAATTTGTGATTTATAATATGTAATAATATTTCACTTTAGTGTATAATAAATTATATCTCTCTTTGTTAAATTATTATATCTCTCTCTCAGTTAAAATATTTTAAATTGTTTAGAATATTTTAATCGATAAATGAGATGTATGACGTGTATGTGATTATCCTGTTACGTCAGACAATTAATATTTCTTAGTAGATCGCCTCCAACGATGTGGCATCCACCCATGTATTTCTTCCTGTACTTTCCGATATAGAAGAAGCACGATAAACGGAATCGCCAAAGTTTCTTTTTTAAAGAAATAAATATACATTGCAGCTATTAGTAATGTCAAGTCGGTTATATAGCTTACGGTCGATCTAATTGTTCTTTTAGCTTCTAAAGCTAACTTTCCGTTTGCTTGATTAAAACAGCTTTCTCCTGCATTCTCCTTAGTTTCTTCGATTTCTTTTTTCATTGCACGATGCTTACTATTCTGGAGTGCTTTTTGCAATTTCTCAACCTTCGATTCTATTGGTTCTGTCGTTCCAAATCTCTCCCTAGAACTTGATCTTGATGAGGAGCGCGAGGAAGGTCTAGAAGATATTTTAGATCTACGAAAATCATGCTCATTCAATTCATTTTTTGCTAAAGGTCGATTATTTCTTTCCTTAGAAGGTGTACGATTTCTGGACTTCGAAGATGATCTTGAAGAAGCACCTCCTATTCTTTCACTTCTTCTCGCAGCTGGAGATTGGTCCCTGGAGTTTGGTCTACTTCTACGCTTCGCAGTCATCGTATTTCTCGTTGGAGTCGTACCTCTAGAACTAACAACGCTTTCTCTTCTAGAATGCGGTGTTTGATTATTTTTTTTTTCTTCATTGATTTCATTCTTATTTTTAATTTTTAATTTCAATTTCTTATCCTTCTCTTGTTTATCTGTTAATTTTGGCACATGTTTTTCCTGCACTCGATACTTTTGATCTTGGTCTTCAGAAAATGAAGATCTCCGAGAGCTAGCTGCGCTACCGTGTCGTGAATGACTCGAGTATTCTCGGACTATCTCAGTATATTGATTTACAACAGCCATTTTAGCTTCTATTTCGGCTGCCTCTTTTTCAGGTGTCATGGATCGCAATTTCGATTGCATTCTTCGATTTTTTGCTGCTTTTGCCGCAGATATAATACTATCCGTATCTGATTCTGACATCGTAGGAGTCTTTAGAGTTTCGGACACGCTAGACATAGAAAGATTCAAAATTTTGTCGTTGATATCTATATTTATCTTTTCTATATCTTCATGTTGATACGATTGCGATAAAGTCTTTCTAATTGGTTTTTCTGGAGGAATCAATCTACCAAAATTGTCCTGAGAAATTGTCATTTCGTCTTTGGGCTTTTTTAGAATTGACTTGGGCATCACATTATTAGATGAGGCGGAAGTAACCGTTATGATGGGTGAAAGAGATGAGATCTCACAAATTGGCAACCCGTCATACGAAATCTGTAGTTCTGGTTCGACGTGTGGAATTGGTTTTCCCCTAGGATGATAAGTATCTTCTTCATCGATAATTTGTCTTGCCAGGATCCTTGATTTTAATAATTTCAAATCCTCGCTGTCTGCACTACTGATCTCTTCTGATGACTCTTCGGAAGTCTCAATGCTAATATTTTCCTCCTCCTCTGTTTCCTTTGCTTGACCCAGCGATTGTGATTCTACTTTATCCACTGTAATGGATGATGGAATTATCACTTTCTCTTCATTATACATTTTTATCGACTCCTCTTGTTGCATCTCTTTTAGTAACGGTACAGTCGTTTCGTGCCATTTACGCAGACGTTCCACGGATTCGACTTTGTTGTTCCTTTCCCAAGGATCTGTCATTATCACTTCAGAGGGAAGATTTGGGTCTGATCTAGCTTCAACATCCAATAACAAAACTGGCGAAAGAAGTTTTAATGTTTTTGATACCGCATCTGTTTGTCCTTCGCTCAATCTTCGACGATTCTTTTTGGCTTGCCAGGAAGCGATTAAATTTTGCCTAGTAGTACCAGAATTGGATAAGCGCCTTCGAAGCGATGGTCTCTGAACAGATTCGACATCTAATAGTGTCAGTTTGGTTTGTTTCTCAAATTGCGTCTTTTGTTTGGCAGCTTCGGATGCCTCTCCAGCAGCAATTGCGCGATAAAAGCGTTCCATAGCTCGTTCGTGAAGAAGCTCAGTAGAGCTAACCGCTTCTCGCATTATTTCCACCATTTGATGCTGCGCGCTAAATAATTCTGGAAGAGATAACGATATTGGTGGTGGTATGAGATCGTCCTCATCTTCTATTAATTCAATCATATTCCGTTTATCATCTAAAACAGTGATTATAAAGTTTTAACATTTACAGACAATTCTTATTTTTCAAAAATATTTAAATATAAAGATTTCACTCGTACTTACTTATACTGCTTTTAACTCGAATTTCTGTAGAGTTCTCCATGCTGATTACATCTTTCTCTTGTGTTTCATCTTCTGGATATAAAACTAGCATAAATTCCGAGCTACCGTGTAATGCGTTCTCATCATGCTCTTGCAGTATTCTCTGAGATTGCGAATTATCCAATGGTAATAATATAGATTCGTTTACAACTATCTGTTTTTTTGGAATTGAATTTGATGATAATAAAAATTGATGGTTTGCTGTAGTACGATTCTCCTCATTTCGATGTTCTTGAATTCTTGGCACGTTGACTGGAGAGAGACTCCTTTCTTTGGTTATAAAATATGACGTGATATCATCTTCGATAATTGGAGAAGAGACTTGCATGATTGGTATTGGTTTTAATGACATTGTTGTTTCTTCTTTCGTAATAACATCTTGCTACATTCAAATATAAATATATTATTATATAGTATCTTCTTTCTCTTTTAATCTAGAATTTATCTATAGCGTTTTTTTTACACTTGATTATTTCTTACCTTGTCTTTCGCATTTGTCGCAATATTTGATCGGTTGGTAGGATTTCCAAGAAAAACTTGTTGCTTCATGGAATTGTGCTCTCTTGATCTGGCTGGAGGAATCGGAGGTTCTTCTTTTTCTAAAGTATCCAGTGCAAATGTTACTTTACTGTCGGCTCTAGATGGTCTATCCAATGTAGAAGTTGGCATTGCGAGTCGTTGCACCGAAGCTGATCGCTCGTCGTATTTAAAACAACCATTACTTTCGTCTCGGATTTTAGTTTCTTCTCTCGTTAGACTTCTAGTTCTTTGCGCTGGCGTAGTGAAACTTACCTCTCGTTTATCGCCACGAGATCTGCTGATTTCTCGATGACTTTGCGATTTTTCATTCAAAGACGGTATTACGATTCTACAACGTAAAATTATGAATTTATTATTGCGTAACTAAATGTATGCTAAATTTAAATATTTGTCGATATAAGGTACCTTCGTTTAATGTCTGGAATGAAAATAACATCGCTTTCTTCACTCGGATCGCTGACTCCGTAAGGATTCTCAGCTTTCACACGAAATTTGTATTCAGAACCTTCGATCAATTCAGTTAATGTTGCGGTTGTGCGTCTGCTTGTAACTGCTTTAAGCCATACCTCCCAGCCAATCTAAAACATCATTGCCAAGTTTCTGAAAATTTTTACATATGGAAGTAATAATTTCAATTACGTACTCTGTAGTACTCGACAATATAAGTCCCGATTTTACATCCGCCGTCATCTTCTGGTTCCTTCCACGACAACATCACCGATCTACCTAGTGTCATCGCAACAGCTATTTTACCAGGAGCAGCGGGTCGATCTGTTGATAAAATCGATAATTCGAAAAAGTACGTAACTTATCAAATTTGTGACAGTTTAAAATCCTAGTGTTTAAATTAATGTAACATTATCACCTGTCACAGTGACTAGAAAAGACGCAGTATCTTCGCCCAATTTATTTGCGATTTTAACAGTGTATTCTCCTCGATCACTTCGTTTGGCATCTGGTATTCTCAGTACCGATTCACCATCCATCACTTCAAATATATGTCTAGCATCTTTGGATATCAGCTCTCCGTCATGATACCAGGTGACAAAAGGCGTTGGTCTACCTGCTAAAGATACTTTCAGTCTAATAGTCTCATCTTGCTCGAAAAGCAAACCATCCTCATATTGACGTGGCAATCGTATCCGTGGAGGTGCTGAGACAAATAATTCAGCAATTTATCGATATTATAAAAAATCATGTTTATTTGCTTTAATCGAATACAGGGTCTTCTTATTTAAAATTTAAATCACATATTTATTATTTTAATAATTTACCTTCGAGAATTAATTTAGCTCTGGTAGCAACATGACCTGCTCGATTGGTGGCGGTACATTTAATTTCACCCTCATCATTAAGCGCGGTCTGGTGAATCAAGAGAACACTCTTTCCATTATCCGTAATAATTTTGGTGCGTCTACTACTAAAGATCTCGAAACCGTCCTTGAACCATGAGATTTTTGACAATGGTGTACCAGAGAATTGTATGACAAATTCAGTCTATATTGGAAAATTACAAATGAATTAAGTTTTATATGATTGAATGTGTAATAATCTTTACGTACCTGTTCGTTTTCGAGTGCAACCGTATCTTTAAGCTCTAAGTCGAAATGAGGAGCGCAAGCGACAGCGGCCCTTTGTAAGGTAACTGTGAGTGGTTCGGAGACCTCGCTTGGTTGTGAAAGTCCGAGTGCATTTTGTGCTCTGACTCGAAATTGGTAACGCCATCCTGGCTCAAGACCACTAAGAGTTAGTTCTGGAAAAGCACAAAGACCAGAGGTGCTTCGTATCCAATGAGGAGAGCCCAGTCGCCGATGTTCGATCAAGTATCCGACGATTGCCGATCCACCGTTACTTGGTGATCTCTCCCATCGTATTGCAACAACATCTGGCTGCGTTTCGTTCGTTCCCGATATCAAGATAGGTCTGCCTGGTGGAGCCGGAAGACCTATACCAAATTTCTTTAGTTCTTTTAAGTTTTCATAAAATTAATAATTAATCTACTTTGTAATAACTATGCATTTAATAATATTTTTTTTTATTTAAAATTAGAAAGAGACAAGCAAACACAACATTAATGTTAAGAAATATATTCTTGCTAGAACTATATTATACTCATGTATGTATATAGAAGCAGATGATTCTCAACATCGGTACGTAAGTACCGTTCCCAAAATAAAATGCGTCGCGTTTGGCAGTACAGTAGAGTACTGAACCGGCGCATTATCCGTAGATTAAGTATTTGAGATATCCTGATTCCGCATAATGTTCATTGATTACGTGTTAAAAATGGACATTATACAATGTTACAATAATTAATGGAGTAGAAAATGAAAAGCTACTAATCTAAATCTTTTCTAAACTAAAGTTAGTAGCAGTCTAATTTTAGATGCTATTTCGCTGTTGAAACTAATTGAACGTAATTGCATGTGGTTAACAACAATTTTTGTAATCTTTTATATCTTAAGTTTGTATCAGTAGCAATAGGAAACTGAATTATATGAAAAAAATAGGTATCGATAACATTTATAATAAAAAAAAAAAATAAATCTTGACAGAATACATTGTAGTTATAATAATGTAATTATGTGTGTGTGTGTGTGTGTGTGTGTGTGTAAATTACAAATTGTACAACACATTAGAAAATAATTTATTATTAATATTTTTACTATTATTAAGTGTAATTATAATATAAAAAAAGATAATTTATATATATTTAAGAAAATAGGTAAAGATTATATCTTTCGGAAGTAATAAAAACATTTATTACTTTTAAAATTACGTAAATAATCATTTTGTTGTTATAAACGTTATGATAGGAAAGATAGAGAAAAAAGAGAACAAGGAAAAATCTTTATGCTGATGTATTTCAAAATATAACATTTATTGTATTAAATTAGACAGCAATTTCTTCTTTTTTAGTTCAACTGACATGGTAATTTATTCTTGGTTCTCAATAATGAGATCTTCCCATTTTCAAAATTATTAAAAATCATAGCATTAAAAGACTAAAACAATAGGCTAATTTACCTGGATTATCCCAACGCGTTTTCTTCGAGCTGGTGCCAACGGAGATACTTCTTGAATAATCTTTCGTGGTAGCGTTGCCCATTATCGTGTTTCCTCTTCCTCCTCCTTCTTGTCGAGCTTTGCTCGACGATTACTCCGTTAATTTTTCGATCGTTCTCACATACCAAAATGTCAAAAGTATCACATTTACAGTACTATCTAAAGAATGATCAAAGAGCAAAATAATGCTGATGATGCCCAACTTGGATGAAAGAGGGGTAGAGAGAGAGAGAGAGAGAGAGAGAGAAGCGGCGAAAGGGAGAGAAAAATAGATAGAAAGAGAAAAGAAAAGAGATGGCCAAAAAGAGTGAGAAAAAGATAGCAAGTATGCTTGATATAGCACGAGGCTCGATGGAGCACTGGCGAACTTCCCCGTGGTCGACGACTGTAGCGACGCCTAATCTCTTCAGCTTTTCTCGACATCTATCTTTGTCTCACTGGTGTTTGTACTCTGCATATTTCTGTATATACATATTTCTATCAATATATACCTTCATAATAATAAAAAATGTACCGTTTTATATTATTGGATTAAGAGTTTGATCAGAAAGAAGTGTTATGTAATATTGACGTGTAAGATATTTATGTTAAAATTTATTCAAAGTTTATATAATTATTGTGCGTAATGTATATTATATTGACTCTTTTATTAATATAGCCGTATTCTCTTCACTCTTCCTTCGAATTTTATACTGAGATCATATAATGCTATGCATTGGGACTAAATACGTAAATTTACATAAAAAAATATCAAATATGTCTTCCTCATCAATGATTGCATAAATTGCAAATTATTAAAGAATAAAAAGTGTTGTAAATTATTTACTTGAAGGCAACATATCATACAGTTGCCTAAATAATCGGGTAGTTTAAAATAAACTTGTCTCCTCCTCTCTCTCCTCTCTCTCTCTCTTGTCATATAAATTGCTATAAATCTTTCATTAAAAAATATTTTTTTAGAGTAATATTTTTGAAAATCTTTTATTAAAAATATTAATTTAGAATATCATCGTCAAACTGTACGTAATCATAATTTTTCCTTACACATATGTTTGTTCTTTTGTTGTATTTTTTGTTTAATATATTACTATATTAAACATATTTTGACTAGTAATATATTAACTAATAAATCTTTAAACTATTTGCATTTACATTATTAAAGATAATTCATTCAATGTGTTTTGTAATTAAATTATTATATAACATATAATAATTATTATATAATATACTTATATTATTATTATCATACTATAAATGTTCGAAAATTTTTCCTTATGAAATAATTCAGATTTCCATTCGTCGAAATAATGATTGTCGAACTCTTTCGAATGTTCCTATTGTACTAGAAATAGTAATAAAAGCATTTTGCTTGTAAATAATTAAATTTGCATGATTATAAAATGATTTGCGATATCTATTAGTTCTATATACGCCCAAGAATCATGTAAAACCTTTATGGCATAAATATCTTTGCGTTATTTCTCTGTAATTTTCGTTATTCCTTACTTAAAATATTTCTGCATATTTCTGCTCCAGGAAGATAAGGAGTCGAAAAATACAGTTTCAGAGAGATAGAGAGATGAAAGGAAGGGAAGAGCCATGTATAAAGGAAGGGGAACACACGGTTAATCGGTGCCAAAGTACCGTTGTATCTGAATGGACCAGAGATGGCTTTCGGTTTTCCTGCAGCCTCCATTGCAGTTATAGCTTCGCACTACATCTATCGTGCATTGTGCTCGTACGCATTTCATTTCACATAGATACACGAGCATACATCTACAAGCATGTAAAAATTTTTCTTCTGTCTTTAACACGCAGCACGTGCGACAGACTCAAGTCAACGAGGCATGACAGTTTGCTTGTTGCTCACGTGGACATACGGATATAACGTCTGGAGTTGAAACAGCTGCTCGCTGATACTCCACATTTCCGCAATGTATACCAAGTATATATTACATCGTGTACTGCATGTATAATGTTTTTTCATAATACTTTTCAAGTGTTTCCGAATTTTTCGATATGGTTCAGCGTGGACATCGTTATATTAAACTGGTGAGTACTATTTTATATGTATATATATACATATATATATATATATACCAATTATAATTATAGTTAAAACGTTGATGCATAAAACATTAAATAAAAAATACGTTTAGCAAATTTTATTTTATTATTTAAAACTTACTATCTAATTATATATTAAGACGATTCTTTTTAACAAGCAGTTATGGAGATGCCAATGAAAAACTTGAAAGCAGCGGATATTCTAGAAGATTTAGAATCAAAGCTTGCATATATTCCAGGCGGTCGTGATCACGATGGACGACCTTTAATAGTAATAAATGTTCCACCAGAATTTGATTCAGCAACGAAGTCAAAATTAGAGTTCCTCATTTTATATTTTATATCAATTTTCAGGTATAGAATATCTTTGATATCTCATTAACTGATGTATACACACTTAAAAAAATAAATATATTAAATTTATATATATAAGTGATTTAATATTTATTGATGATTAATTACATAGCGACGAGACGAAGGAAAATGGATTGGTTCTAATTGTAGACGCGCGTCATAGTGCATGGAGCGTAACTAGATCTTGTATTAGACTCTCTACGAATCTTATAGGATCTAAAGTAATTTCTGTGATTGTGATACGGCCGGATGGTTTTTGGGATAAACGTGTCGACAGTTGTGCCAAATCGCACAAAGAAGGCGAAGTGAGTAAATCAATTTAATAAAAATATATTACAACAATAATGACATTAAACTGATATGTGAATAACACATCTAATTGTAAGTAGAAAAATGTCTTTTCGGTTTGGGCTAAATTTAAAAAATATATTAATTGTATTATTATTGTATAAGGGCGTAATAGCTTCGATTTTCTTTTATTTTTATCAATTGTTTTAGTCACTATACGTTACTCTAACGAGGTTGCATGTGTACATCGATTTTTCTCAATTACCATACGAACTAGCAGGTAACAAGGCGTACAATCACGTTGAATGGATTAAGAAACGTATGGTAAATTAAACATTTTTATCTATGTATAAATTAAATGCAAATGATATGCTAATTTCTTAACTTAGCTTGATATTAATTTTTTCTTAGAAAATAGAAAATTATTCAAAAGATGCATTAGAGCTTGTATCGAAGATGACAAATTTACATCAAAGATTGAATACTTTTGATGGTATTCGTATAATGCAATCGGATGACGTAGAGTCTTATTGGGAAATGGGCATAGAATTGTTATCAACGGCACGTCATATACTTCAATCAGGTTTATACATTTTTATCTATTAGATTTTTTTACAAGATTAAAAGTATAGGGGAGAGTGGTTTAAATCGGACCTATTTGCAGTTTTTGCTCTCTATAAAGCGTAAATAAAGTCCGATCGTAAAATCGAAGGTGCCATTGGAAAGATCATTTAATTCCCTTCATTTTTGCTTTAGACCATTTTGACGTATCTTTCACCTGTGTTGAACTGTAATGGAAAATGTAAAAACGCTTTTTCCGGTCCGATTTGGAACCAATGATTCCAAATCGGACCA